ATTGTGGAGATTCCTTAATATGGTTATAACCATAATTATAGTATAATATGCCCCAAGACCCTATTATAATTCTTAAGGCCCCTATATTATAGAACCCTACTCTAGATCCCTGATAACCCCTTTAAGGAACCCTTTTAAAGGAGCCCTATTCAAATTATTTTTGAGGCCCCTATATTGACCCTAAACCCTAAACTCCTAACACCCCTAAACCCCTAAACCCCTAACCCCTAACACCCCTAAACCCTAAACCCTAATCCCCCAAACCGGTAAACCCTAAACCCCTAAACCCCTAAACCCTATAGATCCCCTTAAAAGGACCCTTATAGATCCCTTTAGAAGGAACCGCTATAGATCCCTTTAAAGGGAACCCTAGCCCCTAAACCCCCGGAGCCTAACGCCCAACCCTTTTAACCTACTACTAAACCATTAAGAACCCAAAAAGTTTTAAAGGTTAGGTATAGGGGATCTAGATTCCTACTAAGCTATAAGACGCTCCTCCAGGCTTTGCTGGGTCTCTTCCAACTTAGACCGGAGCGCCTGGCTTTCGATATCTGGGAGTTTCCGAAAAAAGAGGACCCTAATATAGTACCCCAAATAGAAGGATGCTTATACCATAAAGGGTTCCTTTAAGGGGATCTATAAGGGTTCTATAAAGGGTTTAGGGTTTAGGGAGCTTCCGAAAAAAGGGGACCCTAATATAGGAGTTCATATATAAAATCCTATAAGGTAATCCCAAAAAGGGAACTACTACGGGGCCTTTGGGTAGCATTATGGGAGCTTCCGAAAAAAGAGGACCCTAATAGTAGCCCAAATAGAAGGATCCTTATAACAAAAACCACAAAGTATGGTACCCTCATTTTCGGAAACTTCCATATAGTCTTCAGGATGTAAGGTAGCCGGGCCTAGGAGAAAAAAGCATCAAGGCCTTCTTTTCTCTCTTAACGGTTCCTTCAAGGAGCAGGTACCAAGAAAGTGCTCAAGTATGGTAATACAGGAACCTGATCAAGAGACCCTGGGCCTATAACCCCAAAACAATAGGATTCATATAACAACCGCAATAAAGGCCCAAGGTTTCTTAATCAGGTTCCTACATTACCCCCGGAGCCCAGTCGTCAGGCTTCGGGTTAGGGTTTCAGGTTTAGGGGCACATGTGTCTGGGTTTAGGGTCGAGAGTGTACTTAAAGGCTCATGGGACTTAGTAAGTAAGACTATTACTACCTTAATTGGGGTTATAAGCATAGTTACCTTACGTATAACCCTAGTTAGTAAGTCCCATGATCCTCGAAGTAGGGTATGTCGGTTACTGTGTCATCGCCCTCCTCATCATCAGAATAATCTATAATCTTCAGCGACAAGACTGCCTTCCATGAGTTGCAATGAGCTGGGTTTAGTTAGGGTTTGGGGTTTAAGGTTGCGGAGTTTAGGGTTTAGGGGTTTGGGGCTTCAGATTTTCGGTTAAGGCTTGCTTGATTGCGGCTGGCGTCCTGAATCACTGCTCAAATGGGTAATTCTCTAAAGTAGGCCAGGGTGGTTATAGGGTCCTTGTTAAAAGGGCACCATACTAGTTTGGGGGACCGAAATAGGGACCCTAATTTAGAGAACTACCCATATCCCCCAGCAATATTGCTCCTAATGTTCGTAACCTGTGGTAACGCTGTGGCGGATGGCAAAAAAGCGCCGGAACCTATAGGCTAATCTGCGAAAAAACAAGCAAGCAATAAGCTAAATTCTCACATATCAGCAACGGGTAAAACATTGTCGCGCTAAGCACCAAGTTCCTAAACAGATCCTAAAAATTAAGTCCCAAGCAAACGCAACGGGAAAGAACCACAGAGAGAACTCATCGTTCCTTTCTCTTTCCTAGACTACGATGCCGGCGATGCCTATGAAGCACACTCGCTTTCCAAACCCTCTATACGCTATGCAAGAAGCCTGATGAGAAAATTTGTCGATACTCTAGCAGGGCCGTACTTGAAGTCTCATGGGACTGACTAACTAAGGTTATAATAAGGACGGTTATACTTGTGATAACCCTCTTTGGGGCAAGTATGACCCCAATAAAAACAAGCTGTAACACTGCTTACTAAGTCGCCTGAGTCCTTAAGCAACCTCTACCTACCAAAACCTACTTTTTTGGTAGGCTTTTATTGAAAGACCTTATGTGGAATGTATAGGGACCCTACAAAAAAGTAGGTTCTGGTGGGTTCAGGTAAACCCAGAACCGCAAGACCCCTAAACTAAACTTGGGCCCTGCATTCCAAGCCTCCGCTTGCTTTGCAAACTCGGCGTCCAGGGACCTTCACTTACCCAGATGGTCCATAGACACTACTATTATGGAATTAGGTCCCCCAAAACCAAAATGGGGATGGTCTTTTAAGGCCTAATTCCATAATAGTAGTGTAAGTGTGTATGGACCCTCTGGGTTACTGACTCTTTGCAGAGGATGACCTACTATTTGCTTAAGAACCCCCCAAAAATAAAAAATATATTCCTTATGGGGGTAATATAGGGATTATTATTTTTATTTTTTGGGGGTTTCTTAAGCAAATAGTAGGAATTTAGGGTCTCTAGGCTGATGAGCATTGAAAGGCTCAGGGTTTAAGGCTTGGGATTTAGGGTTTAGGGTGCAGGTTTCAGGATCGGGGCTTTTTTCAGGGGCAGCGTTTGAAGTTCAGGATTCGGTGTTTTCGGGTTGGAGGTTTACGATTTCAGATTCCAATGCTTTGGGTTTAGAGTCACAGGAATCCTTAAAAAACTGAGCCCAATGAGAATACCCCTGCGTGAAGCTTCCACGTCTTCGGCAAGATGCTTGACCACTAGCTGGTCAAAAGTCCGTCGTCGCGCAAGCTCCTTCCTGAAAGCTGCGAAGGATTTAGGGTTTAGGGCTGTCGGGTTTAAGCTTAGGCCGGTCGCTGGTTTAGGGTACAGGATATAAGGAGATGGTCTAGGATCCTTCAACCAGCTAACGTGTGGGAAACTCGCTTGCTTCAAATATCTGATCTAGGTCCACCTAGGTTGCCCAGAAAACTTCAAAACAGTGGTACCCTTGTCCTACGACTCAGCTTTCAGCCGCTAAAACCACACAAAAATACGAAGAAGTCACGAACATAAACAAGATCACCCAAGAACACAAAAGCCCCAGAACCCCCTGAAAACGCAAGAAACGAAAAACATGTGAAACTATGGATTCGAGACATCTCGGAATTCTCGTCTCTACATTGTCTCTTGGCGCCGGAATTCAGAACGGTTTAGGATTTGGGGCTTGCAAACGTCACGGTTAAGGGTTTAAGGCTGAATGTTTAGGGTTTAGGGCAGGGTCCAGAGTCTACTTAGAGGATCAGGGGACTTAGTAAGTAGGTTATAAGTGGGGTTATAAGTCCCCTAACTGGGGTTATCCTAATTATAACCTACTTATAACGCTACTTACTAAGTCCCATGAGCCTTTAAGTAGAGAGTAGCGTTTTACGGTTAAGAGTTGCCCGGGTCCTCAGAACTGCTGGCGCAACGCCAAGAAGCTCCTTCACAAGTGGACGCGGCCAAGAAAACTACAACTTCCCCTTCCCTAAACCCAGGGTTTAGGGTTTAGGGTTTAGGGTTGAGTGTCCCTAACAGTTCTTAATGAAACCTTAAACCTTAAACCCTAAACCGTCGGCCCGAAAAACTAAACGCCTGCATCCCTGGGCACGAAGCCCAGGACCCGCACCCTACGGCAATGTGGGCTTGACACTGCCCCAAGCATTCAACTTCAATAGGGTTTAGGATTTAACGGCTTAGGGCTTAGGGTTTAGGGTTTAGGTTTAGGGTTTAGGGTTTAAGGTTTAGGGTTTAGGGTGTAGGTTGGATACTGCCCCCATACACTAACAGTCTATATTAGGGCTACTATTAGGGGCATAAAAAATCTGCATTTGGAATATTATCCAACTGTTACTGAGTGGGGGCAGTATCCAAGGTGTAGGCTGTAGAGATTGCCAGGAACAGTTGTTTTTTCGACACCGAAACCCCTAATCCGAAACCTGAAACGACTTTGGCATGAAACGCAGCGAACTGGTTGTAGGCTCCTCCTGCGAAGCCTTTCACGGCTAATATCAAGGAACGTAGTGTTACGAACAGAGAATCAGGCAACTGTTCCTACTCTAACACACTCAGCCCGAAACCCTAAACGCGAAAACCCTGAGCCCTAAACCCCTGAACCCTAAGCCCTAAATCCCTGCAAGGAACCCTGCCTACAAAGAACCTTAATAGAACCCTATAGATTTCTTAACGGATCCCCAACGCAACAAGTTTTAGAAAGCCCAAAACGCCAAAGTTGTGGTTTAACCTTTAAGGTCCCTAAACCCTGAAAACCTAAACGGGTTGGGGTTTATGGTTTAGGGTTTAAGGTTTAGGGGTTTAAGGGTTTAGGGTTTAGGGTTTAGGGATTTAGGTCTTAGGGGTTTAGGGGTTTAGGGTTTGTGGGGTGTGGGGTGGCTCGGGTTCCCAGTTCTGGGCTACTCGAACTTGAAGGAAGTGGAGCAAGCTAGGCAAACATGGCACAAGTTTCCGGATTTCAGGGGATCCTTTTCTATTTCAGGGTTCCTTTAATACTTTAGGGCTTCCTTGGCCTAAGGAACGACCCTAAACCCTAAAACCGAAACCCTCAACCCCTGAACCCCTAAACCCTAGGCCTTAAACCTCTAAAAAAAGCCTCAACCTGGCAGGCCCTAAAGGGCATCTCCTTGTGGAAGCCGACCTTCTGCCCAGCCTCCGATAGCAGAAGATTCGGTCTCTTAAAGCTTTTATAAAGGGATTACAAGGGTAGCTTTAAAGGGAACTATAAGGGTACTATGAAGGTACTTGAAAGTTCCGTCTCTTACAGCCTCACAGCTTCGAGATACGGTAGATGACTTGATTCGGTCTCTGCCAGCCTTTTGGAAGGGATGTTTAGGGTTTGGGGATGTTTAGGGTTTAGGGATCAATGCGGGCACAAGAGGGGTTTGAAGATTCTTCGGTCTCTCAAGGCTTTACACCTCAGGGATACCGTTGATGATATCAACCCAGCTTATGGCCAACCTGCGCTCAAAGTCCTCTGTGAATCTCTTTTCTCTTTTCACGTATGCGGATGCTTCTCTTTATCGATCTCCTGCTAGCTTTCCGATGTCTTTCTTTCTCTCTGCATTTCTCGCCGTTTTCGAATATGTCTTCCTGTGGATGACTCTGTCCTCTCTCTCTCTCCGTCTCAAGCACGACTGACAACAAGTTGTCAGAAACAAAAGTTATGAATAGAACTTCCATGTGGACAGCATGGCAAAATGGCTTCGATTTATTGGTTCTGCCTTTATCCCCCATCGAATTTCTGGGTATGTTATTGCAATTACCAAATCAAGATGTATAGGGACCATAAGGGAGGCTATTGCCGTTTCGGCCCCTACGGTAAACCCCGGACAGGTAGAAAAAGTGCCTTAATAATTAGAACAGGGTTTGGGGGCCCATTGTACTATCATTATAGTACGGAGCCCCCAAAATAGTATTGGTAATTATTTGGGCCTCTATAACTTGGGGTTTCGGGTTTAAGGATATGTTGGTTTTGGGGTTTCAGTGTTCATGGGACTTCAGTAGAATCATAAAGCCCTTCATAAGCCCTGACCGAAGCTTAGGGTGAGGGCGAACGTGGCAAGATGCACTTCCCGCTCCCCCCTGCCGAGCCTGCTTTAGTGTTTAGGGAAGTTCAGGGGGGAAAGTTTTTCGGTGAACCCTGCAAAATTTGACCCCTAAAGCCTAAGCACCCTGGTTCTTCTGAATTTCAATGTTGTTACAGTGCACCGCGGACTAAAAGAAACCGCCGGTTCACCAAGGACGTCACTTGCAGATGAGCAACACTCATAAAGGTATCAAGGTCACGAGTAGTATGGCTATCACCGCGATTGATTTACTGTTATTGCCGCAAAAAGCAACTAGGTTGTTGTCTTGTCATGCTTGAACTCCCCTGTGGAGACTGTTCTACTGATGTCGCTGTCCTGAACCCCGTCGAGTTTGACCTGAAGTGTCAGCGTGTAGGATCCACCCTAAACCGCAAAGCCCAAACTCGAAAGACAACTGTCTATTTCGGGTTTACGGATTGGTTTTTTAGGGTGGTAGTAGGGTCCTCAACTTCACCTGTTCTGCTAAGCTCTAGGCCCTTTCCACCGAACCCCAGAAACCTAGTTTGACAGTTTCGGGCCTCTAAAGACGCTCCAAACGAGGATCCTCCTAAGCCCAATAAGGCTTTAGGGTTTAGGGGTAAACATAACATGCCCCCAAGCCCTACCCAGAAACCCTAAATCCTAAACCCTAAGCCCCTAAACCCTAAACCCCAAACCCCTAAACCCCTGAACCCTAAACCCCTAAATCCTCAACCCCTAAACCCTAAACCTGACACCGCCAGTGTTGCGACTGAAGGGATCGGGTTATGAGTCGATGGCTTGCACAAGAGCACCTCTCACCCTAGGAAACCTCTTCAGCGCACCTAAATGGGAGTTTCGGAAAATTAGGGGTACCTGATTTTGGGGTCCCTATCATGGGGATCCTACTATTTCGGGTACTATATCAGGGTCCCCTATTTTCGGAAACTCCCGAATCACAGGCTCCCTTAGGGTTTTTTGGTTTTTGTGTGAGGGCTGGTAAGGCAAGCACAAACAGTTCAGCCCAACACCCCCTAATTAAGGAGTATACATGAATATAATATACCTTAACCTATTCTGATATAAGCTCTGCTCCTTAATTAGGGTGTATTGGGCTTTTTGGGTGCCATGAGACCCAGCCCAGCCTTGCACAAAGCGTTGATTTGCTTCCGGGCCGCCACGCCGTGCACGTGGGCCTGGCTTTGGCGAAAACAGGATGAAGGCTCTTCGGATGCCTTAAGATACCTTAAGGGTTTAAGGTTTCGGGATCAGGGTTTACGGGCTTTGGATGAGGGCTTTTCGGATGGCTTCAGATGCCTTAAGACTTTAGGGATTATGGTTCACGGGCATTGGCCAAAAGAGGATGAGGGCTTTTCGGATGCCTTACAGACAAGGGGGGGGGTTAAGGGTCTAGGAGGGTGTTCAGTCTACAGGGTTTCAGGGTGTAGGATTCCTTGAGCGGATCCCTTGAGGATTCTACAAACATACTATCAAGGTGTTAGTACAGTGAAGACCAGAGAAAGTTGGAACATGGGCTTAGTAGGATTGGTGCTAGGATGCCCTATACTCTACCTTAAGGGCATGAGGATATTGATGTTCCAACTTTCTGGCTTCTACTATATGGGAGTTTCCGAGAATAGGAGGTACCTTATTCTGGGGTCCTTATAATAAGGATCCTACAATTTAGGGTACTATACTAGGGTCCCCTATTTTCGGAAACTCCCATATAGGGCTCAGAGTCCGGGTTCGAGGAGAGCGGGAGGATTGTGTAGTAAGGCTCTCTAGCAGGTCATAAAGCTTATATTGGATTTGGGATTTTGGGGCGGCAGGGGGGGGGGGGGTCTGGGGCCGTGTAAGGGATCACAGTGATATCTCTATGATTTGATGAGGGTGGTCAGAGGGACAGGACGAATTTCAGGGTTCCTTTGAGGATTACAAAAGGATATTATCGTGTATTTCAAGGTCAGGGTTCAAGGAGAGGAGCGGGAGCCTTCGTACAGGGATGTACAAGGGCTGACAGTTTTTTATTAGGAATCTGTAAAGGCTCCCTAAGGTTTCATGGGGTTTTGTGGGGTGTAGATAGATTCCCCAGTATCTCGATTAGGGCCACTTTTTCCTCTTGCTCCGTTGCATTAAGGAGCCCCCGAACCCTCAACCCTAAACCCCATTCGCTCCGAATTATAGGTATACTAAATTACAAGGGTTCTTTACTATGCGTATACTATACTAGGATACCCAGAAACCTAAGAACAAAAAGGCCTCTCTTTTTGGTATTGGGTAACTTTATAAGGAACCTAGGACTACAACAAAGGAATAAGGGTACTACTGGGCATCCTAGTATACAATACCCCCAAACCGTAGTCTAATCATCAAGGCCCTTATAGCTGAACGGAGAAGCTAACCTCGCATAGAAGCGAAGGTGGCAGCAGCGTTCATCAAGGAGATCCCAAGCCCTAAACCTCTGTCCTAAGGGTCCAGGTATCTCCTTACTTAGAGGATCATGGGACTTAGTAAGTAGGATATAATTGGGGGTTATAGGTCCCTTAAGTGGGGTTATCCTACTGCTTACTTATAGGCTTATAGGCTTACTTACTAAGTCCCATGAGCCTTTAAGTAAGGGTCCATGTATCTCCGTAGGAGGGTCCGGAATCTCCCAGCAGGAGGGCCTTTGGGTCTCTTTGGGGGCGCAGAAATCCTACCTTTTGAGGTTCCCTAAAGTGTTAGGACCCTTGGGGTAGAATTAGAAGCCCATTACAGGTGGGTAGTTCCTCTTCCATAGTACTCCCATAAGACCCCTTTACCTTATAGGAGTGGTATGGAAGCCTTATGGGAGACTACCCACCTTATAACTACCCACCTGTAAATGGCTTAGAAGAATCTAAACCCTAAACCCTAAAACTAACCCCACATGCGCCCAAAACCCTTTAAACTGCCCTCAACGGGCCCAAAACCGTAAACAACAAACCTCCGAGAGGGGAGCCCCTAAAGCTGAATCTTTGAACCCTGCACTACAGGTCCCTAAAGCCTCCCTAAACCCTAAACCCTAAACCCTAAATCCTGTAGAAAGCCTCATGGCCGTAATTGAGGAATATCCCTGAATCACAAGGGGGCTTAGTATATGATTTACGGAACATGTTTAAGTTAAGAAGGGTATTGGGCTCTCTGGACAATCCTGGGCTTGCCTGTTTCAGTGGTTGGTACATCTTCTCCTGCACGTCACCCAACTGACGACACTCCTGCCGCAGAAACAGGGTTCAGGTGTTTTGCGCCGCATGTGACTTGCGGCTCTCGGTAGCCGATGCGAGAATAGCGTAACAAAAAGCCTGCTGCGTACAGAACAGCTTACTTCAAAGTTCCTTGAGCCTTCCAGCTACTCTGACGCTAACCCTTCTTTGGAACCCTAAACCCTAAACCCCAAACCCTGAACCTTAAACCCTAACGCCTAAACCTTAAACCCGTTCGGGTCTGGTGAAAAGTGAAAAGGGTAGCGACCCTCAGCGACACATCCTTCATCCTGAAAATGGGCGTTTCCAAAAATTAGGGGTACCTTATTTGGGGTCCTTATAATGAGGATCCTACTGTTTAGGGCATTATATTAGGGTCCCTCATTGTTGGGAACCCCCAAATCGGTAAGCTTATGCGAATCAGAGTTTGGGGTTTAGGATTAATAAGGGAGTTTCCGAAATTCGGTACCTAATTTTGGGGACCATATAATAAGGGTCCTGCCTGGGGTACTATATTTGGGTCCCCTATGTAATATTTAATATGAGGGACTGCTGCTTGGAGGTTGCGGTTTGGGGTTTAGAATCTAAGCCTTGGGGGCACAACAGCACTTTTCAAAATTCAACAGGGTCTTCTTTCGGCTGTAGAACGGTTTTATCTGATCTTCCGATCGGGCCCTTTATACCTACAACAGGATCCTGCGAAATAGTCTATTCTAACTATATTGCAACTCTGCGCAGATACGATTGCCACTTGTTAATGCACGTTTAGACATGCCCGCCAGGGCCTGTAGGAATAAAAAGGGCTCCCTTTTTGGTATTGGGTAACTTTATAAGGAACCTAGGATTACAAAAAGGGAAAAAGGGTACTACTGGGCATCCTAGCAAAAAAAATACAAGTTCCTGGAGAACTCAGCGCTTCACCTGAAAAATCTTAAGCTTTAACTCACCGGGTCAAATGTTCGATTGGTTTTTCAGGGGTTGTAAGGAACCCAGGGAGCCCAATACCCCTTTTTTAGGGAATATACCTTAAAATAGAAGGGGCTTCATACCGTGATTTAAGCTATCTTCCTTAATTCAGGGGTACATGGGTCCTACAAAAAAACCTTTGTAAAACCCTTACAGGAACCCTTAAACTCTAAGGGAACCCACAATTTCAGGCTACATTCCTGAACTACGGGGTCTTGGGCCTCTAGGCCCTAAACCCTAAACTATACTGAACTTAGAACCCTAGCAACAATTACAATTTTAGCTGTTTCTTAGGGATTATGATAGCCGAAAATTAAAATGTATTGCTGAGTACCCCTAAGTAAACCCTTAACCCCTTAAAGGGCTCTTGGGCTCTCTGGGTCGAGGGTATTGCAGGCGCCTTGTCGGCGAGCTTCACCTCGGATGCGACGGCCTTCCTTGGTCAGGAACTGGATGAGTATAGTATCATTATCCCCATGCCCTTAAGGTAAAGCATAAGGGATCCTAGCACTAATCCTCCCAAAGCCATGTTCCAACTTTCTGGCTTCTACTATATGGGTGGTTGTCAAAACTAGAGTCCCCGTTATGGGTCCCTACTATCATACGGCACCTATTATTCAGGGTACCCCACAAGGGACTCTGATATTGACATCCACCCATTTACTGGTCTTTGATGAGGGCACATTGTCACATGTCGTTCGGAGTTTAGCGTCGAGGGCTTGGGTTTGGGGTTCTTGGTCTTAGAGTTTATGATGATGTCACCAGCGTGCATGCCACGGCTGCCACTGTTGATGATGCTGTTGTTTCACCTGTTGCTTCTTGCTGCTTCGTTGTACCGGAATTGTGACTATGGCAACTATGATGCTACACGCGACACCCTCAACCCTAAAGCCCTGAAAGCCCTAAAAACCCTTAACCCGACAACTAGCCCCGTCCCGCATCGCCATCTCCTCAACTCTATAAACCCTAACCCTATTCCGTAAGCCCTACAACCCTCAACCCAAAGTCCTAATCCCTTAAACCTTCAACCCTCAAACCCCTAAACCCCTAAATCCCTAAACCCTAAACCCCTTAACCCCTAAGCCCTAAACCCTAAAAGCCAAAACCCTAAGCCCTAAACCTGAACCCCTAAAGATCCCCTGCACTTAAAGAACCCAGAGACTCCAACCTTAGTCAAGGGCTCCTTTACGGGATCCTTTAAGGGTTCTATAGGGTTAAGGGTTTAAGAGACTCCAATATTTTCTCAATTAAGGAAGATACCTTGAATCATATTTGGGATCCTACTGTAATTTAAGAGGTATATTCCTTTTAATCAAGGAATATACCTTAAATCATATTTGGGATCCTACTGTAATTTAAGAGGTATATTCCTTTTAATCAAGGAATATACCTTGAATCATATTTGGGATCCTACTGTAATTTAAGGCATATTCCTTGACTAAAGGATATCGGGGTCTCTGGGAGCCCGTAACCCTAAACCCTAAACCCCTAAACCCTAAACCTGAAACCCCTAAACCCCTAAACTCTAAACCCTAAACCTCTAAGTCTTTGGGAACCCCCCCCCCCCCCCAAAGGAGCCGAGTCTCTTCGAGGAGGCGCAAGTTGCAAGCGCCTTTGTCTCGGCCGTGATCAACCTTTGGACTCAGGCTCTACAAAGGGTTTAGGGCTCCTTTAAAGGGATCCTTTAAGGGTTTAGGATTTAGGCTCTACTATACTGAACTTAGAACCCTAGCAAAAATTATCATTTTAGCTTTCTTTCAGGGATTATAATAACAAAAAATTCAAAATTATTTCTAAGTACTTGGGATTTACCCAGAGACTCCCAAATCCCTTCATTAAGGAATATACCTTAAATTATAGTAGGATCCCTAATATGATTTAAGGTATATTCCTTAATTAAGAGATTTTGGAAGGTTTGGATCTACAAAGGGTTTAGGGCTCCTTTAAAGGGATCCTTTAAGGGTTTAGGGCTTAAGAGACTCCAATATTCCTTACTTCAGGAATATACCGTGAATCATATTTGGGATTCTACTGTAATTTAGGGTACCTTTGGATGTACTTAGAGTCTCATGGCACTTAGTAGGGTTCCTTAAAGGGCTCCTTTAAGGAATCTATAAGGGTTTAGGGATCTATAAGGGTTCCATGAGGGGGAGCTTAGGTTACTTAGAGGCTCATGGGACTTAGTAAGTTGGGGTTATAAGTCCCCTAAGTGGGGTTAGCTGAATTATAACCCACTTATAACTTTACTTACTTTGGATTTACCCAGACCTTCCAAAATCCCCTAATTAAGGAATATACCTTAAATTTTAGTAGGATCCCTAATATGATTTAAGGTATATTCCCTAATTAAGGGATTTTGGAAGGTTTTGTTTTTGGCTCTACAAAGGGTTTAGGGTTCAGAGTTTAGGGTTCACGGTCGAGGGTTTGGGGTTCAGAGTTTAGGGGTTAGGGTTTGGGGTTCAGTGTTTGGGGTTAGGGTTTCAGAATTTAGGGGTTAGGGTTCAGAGTTTAGGGTTCAGGGTTGAGGGTTCGGGGTTCAGAGTTAAGGGGTTAGGGTTTGGGGTTCAGTGTTTGGGGTTTGGGGTTCAGAGTTTAGGGGTTAGGGTTCTGAGTTTAGGGTTCAGGGTTTGGGGTTCGGAGTTTAAGGGTTAGGGTTCGGAGTTTAGGTTTCAGGGTTGAGGGTTTGGGGTTCAGAGTTTAGGGGTTAGGGTTCAGAGTTTAGGGTTCAGGATTGAGGGTTTGGGCTTCAGAGTTTAGGGGCTAGGGTTTAGGGTTTACGGCCCATAGTTGGGGTAAGATGTTCCAAGTGAAACCGGCTATGACAACTAAAAGGCTAGAATAATAGAACAAGGCCCCTCAATTAAACCCCCAAACTACTCCGTATAGAAACAGTTAGGAGAAGCCTTCAAAGGAACCCTGTTCGACTAGCGAGGAGAGCCCAATATTCAGTAATCAAAGAATATAGCTTAAATCATGATACGAGGCCCTCTGATAATTTGAGATCTATTCCATAATTGAGGGGTATATGGCTCTCTGGGCTAGTGTTTCCTTTAGGGCTCTTGTTGTCAGGGCTTCGTGTTTCGAGTTTGCCAACTGGGTTTGAAGCGACATCATGAAACAGTTACAAATAGCCTGCACCTGCAAGCAGCAACTTCAATAGAAGAAACGACATGACGCCGAAACCCTTTCAGCACACGCTAGACCCAGAAATCCCAGACCTTACAAACCCTAAAGGTCATGAGGCACGCATATCTGACATTGTGCGCCTCCCGATTACAATCCGGCCTAGTTAATGCCCAGGACACGTCTAGCTGGGTCGGAGGTGCAGCTATCAAACGATTAGGGTTGAGGGTCAAGGGTTACGGGTTTGGGTTACAGCTACTCTCTTCTCCAATAACCAGGCCCAAACAAAGTTCAAACTTTTTAAGCTAGACCAAATATGTAAAGCCAAAAAGTTTAAAGTTCTCCAATAGGCTAAGTAAGGCTAGCAAGAGAACTTGACATTTTCAAACCTCCAAATACGAGCCTTGGGCTCTAAGCCTAGAGCGCCCAATGATTACTCAATACCCTAAACCTAAACCCGAAACTCTAAACTTATAAACCCTAAACCCAATACCATAAGCCCTTCCAAGCTCCCTTAGCCGCTTGAAAATCATCATCTACTGCCGCGAGACTTGTTCGACTCTTTCAGCTTCGTCCTCCGCATCATCGGGTTCGGGTTCAGGGTATTCGGTTTTAGGGTTTTGGCGCTCGTATTTAGGGTTTGGGGCAAAAGCCATAGGCACACGAGTCAAAGTCCTTAACGAAATCCCTATGCCAACTGCAACCTGAACCAAAGTCCGGCTGCGATGAGAACATACCTTTTTTCATACGAAGGATACACCTACACTTCAGGGTTTTTGCGAGTTTGGGAGGCTCTAGCCATTCCAGCGAAAATCTTGGAAACCTTAAACCCCCAAACCCCCCGACATGTCTTTCACCAAACTTTAAGAGAGTTATTCATCTCTGACCAAACCTAAAACACCCGAAAGAAGTTTCCTTGAGGCTCAGAAACTTACCGGAACCTACAACAAGTCGGCCTTTAAGTAGAGCCTAGGTCAAACGAAATAGCAACCCAATTAAGCCTTTGTACATCATAAGCCCATGTAACCCCTGGGCCCTTTGAAAACAGCAAGTTCGTTACAAGACCTGGTAGAACTCACTGATCGCTGATGGGCCTGTCCTGCAGCTTACTACCTCCTGCTGGGCTGTCTTCAGCCTAAGCGCGCGGGGCTTCTAATTGGGACATCATGGATTCGGGGTTTAGGGTTCAGTTGATGAATCCTGCTTTATCGTGAGTAGTTCCTTCATTTTTGTCGGACATACATGCACCTCGTTCCCTAGAGCATCCCTCCGCAGACACTGGCGACATGGAAACTCGTCTATTGATCTAGCATGTCATTATTATTGTTCTTCTCAGCTTAGGCTTTAGGGTTGTTGGTTAAGGTTCAGGGTTTAGGGTTTAAGGTTGAGGGTTTGGCCCCCCAATTGTCTGTGATAGGGTCCCTGAAGTATACAGTATAACCTAAAGCCGAACCGCTAAGCCCTAAACTCTGCCAGCGACCTTTGTAGTTACAGGGAACCCCAGAGGACTTGCCATACGCAGCACAGCCGAGCCGATGCTTCACATACCCGCACGAATTATGCCCCGTGTCTGCCACCCGCAGGTGGTACTTCTGCCTGCCGACTGGTGCTAAACGGCTGGTCAGGTCCTGTCTCAGCTCCGAGCTCTTGGTTTGGTTCAGGATGGCTCCCCTCATGCTGTAGAGCGTCGCCAATCCCTGCTTCGCTCCAGGTCCGGATCTGCGTGACCTGGACCATCTGCAGCAGGGCAATCCATGCGAGGAAGCTGCCAACGCCACACTACTTGGAGGGGAAGGGGACTTAGTAAGTAGCTTATAGGTAGAGCTTTAAGTACCCTAAAAAATGGAGCTACCCCAATTATAACCCTACTTAAAACCTACTTACTAAGTCACCTGCCCCTCCAAGTAGGTTCCTGCGATGATGGCGACTCCGCTCCTCGAGTAAGGGTGCGACGGGCTTTGAACGGCTGTACTTAGAGGATCATGGGACTTAGTAAGTAGGTTATAATTGGGGTTATAAGTCCCCTAAGTGGGGTTATCCTAATTGTAACCTACTTATAACCTTACTTACTAAGTCCCATGAGCCTTCAAGTAACGCTTGGTTTTTTCGGGCTTAGGGTTTACCTTAACCAGGAGAAGCGACTTGTTTTGTAGTGGCCCTCATGAACTCTACATTACGGTTGATATGCACACCCTACAACCACAGGTTTGGTAGGGTTGATAAAATCGCACGAAAGCAGAACCGGTTGTCTTGGTAGACTGCTGTCCGTTGACAAAAAGACGGGACCATTTGGGGTTCTGTGTTGGTTTGAAGGAGGGTGGTCTGCGCTGACGTCGAGGGTCTCAGTGCTTGCTGGGATTAGGGTTTAAAGCCCCTTCTTGAGGGTTTAGTGTTCGATTTTTTGGCATTGAGGTGTCTTGCCGAGAAGGCTGGGATTTTGGGGTTTAAGTCATTGGTTTAGGGATTAGAGTTTCGGGTTTGGGGATTCGACGGAACAAGTGCCTCAACAAATCGTTGAGGCTAAAGTCATAGGGATCCTTAGGGGTGTAGGGGGGAGGGGTGTAGGGGACTATATTTCCTTAAATAGGCCTTATTAGTCCTTATTCCGGTATTATGGGCCTTAAGGCCCCCTACCCCCCCTCCCCCTACACCCCTAAGGATCCCTATGATAAAGGGCGGACTGAACGGTCAAGCCTGACCCTCAACCTCAACCCAAGGTTCCACAATCGGAAACGTCCCGAAGCTCGCTCTAATCCAAACTCAAACAAAAAGTCCTAAGCACGAAAACCAATTCATAGACCCTAAACCCTACACCCTAAAGCCTAAACCCTCAACTTTAGCCCAGTAATGTTGAAGCCTGTATAATTACCGAATGTATTCCGTTACATCCCTCAGTTTTAACAGCACATGCAGTATACCGCTTGATCCTATTCTAAATTTGAGGCCCCTAGAAGCCCGTCATTCTGGTGCCATGGAGCAACCCTAAACCCGAAATCCTGAACGCTGCCATGGAGCTGAATCTCTGCCTCTGACTTCTCCGCCTCACAGACCTTCCTGGGCTTCGGGTTCACATTCCCAAGCTTCCAGGAGTCATAGGGATCCTTAAGGGTGTAGGGGGACGGGGGTAGGGGGCCTTAAGGCCCATAATAAGGACTAATAAAGCCTATTTAAGGAAATATAGTCCGCTACACCCCTCCCCCCTACACCCCTAAGGATCCCTATGAAGGAGGAGCGAGACAGTTTGGGCTTTGGGACTTGGGGTTCAACCCTAAACCCTTCAACCTAAAACGCTTCGGGTTGAGGTTCGGGCTTAGGGTTTAGGGTTTAGGGTTTAGGGTTTGGGGTTTACAACTGCAGGGTTGAAGTTGAGGGTTGGGGGTTTCTAGGAGGCTTATACTCGGATCCCTTCTTCTGGGCTTTGGAGTAACCAAGGAAACAAAAGCGCACACGTTTATTTCATAACTTTTCCTCTAAGGAACAAGTCCCCCAAAAAGTGTTAAAGCATGGTACTGCAGGTAGAACCCTTATAACACCCGCAAAAAAACAACTGTAGAACCCATATAACACCCTTATAGAACCCATAGTACCCTTTGCAGGATACCAAAACTAGGGCTCTACATTCTCGACCTTCTTTGGATCAGGGTTGCTTGGGAGGTTTGGGCTTCGTGCATGGAGGGCTTACGGGTTCGTTACGGGACGTTTGTAGGGGTCAGAGAGGGTGAGAGCATAGGACGGGGTATATACGGTATAAACGAACTAATAGGCTTTCCAGGGTTGCCAGGTAGTCTTGGTTGAGGGGTTCGGGTTTAGGGCTATGCCAACGGCCCTGAACCCCAAATCCTACACCCTAAATCCTACACCCCAAACACACGAAACCCCAATCCCGAAAACCAATGCCCTAAACTCCAAAACCTTGTCTCCCTAGGTTCTAGCCCCAAACCCTCAAATCCTGACTCCAAACCCTAAAGACCCTGAACCCCAAACTCCAAAATCCTAAAACCCCACCTGCCAAATCCCTGGCAAGCTGCTGCTGCTCTTCGGCCTTGTCCACCTCCAGGCGAGCCTGCAAAGGCTCAGTATATGGGTGGCTGTCAAAATTAGGGTACCTTTGTGGGTGCCGTATTATAACAAGGACCCCAACAGGGGCCCTAATATTGACAACCACCCATATAAGTAGGATATATCTTGTGGTTTGATGTAGGTGGTCCGGGTTCATGTAGAGCAGTTCTTGTACCAAGGGAGGATCAAGGGACCCAAAACCTTACACCCCCAAACCCCAATCCCCATCTTGGGGTGGACCTGAGCAGAAGGATTCAAGGTGTCAGGGGGCTGAAGGTTCTGATTGTGTCGTCTTGCATGGTAAAGTCAGACATGGCTTCCTCTGCTGTTCAACTTCCTTGCCTTTGCCCAGTTCGGCTTGCGTCCGTTTCAAACTCGAGCAGATGGGTAACCGCTGGTGCTCGGCACGGTAATCGAGGAGGACCCCTCCAGTCCGGGATCTTGCTTGCCAGGATTGCGGAGTCGCCGGCCAAGACGGGTTCAGTGGCCATGACGAAGGTCGAACGGTCAACACGGGCCCACCACAGTATGGCCGTACTGCTCGCGCAATCCGTCAAATGTCCTCCCGAGGACGGGTCGAACATGACTGGCTCCAGCTTGCGAGGCTGGGTCCTGATTCCTGCAGTAGCCGATTGATCGCCCCAGCATCTGCGTCAACTTGTCTGCAGAAGCAGATAATCTCGGGCCTTTGGGAGGGCAGATGGATCCCTTAATTAAGGAATATTCCTTAAAGCATATTAGGGATCCTACGTGATCCTGCTACACTTTGAGGTACATTCCTTGACAAAGGGATGTTGAAGTCTCTGGGCACCCTAAACCCTATAGAACCCTATAGACTTATAGATCCCTCATAGATCCCAAAAGGGCTTTTGGAGTCCCTACATCCGTCAGCTGCGACACCCTGGACTCCAATGTTTTGAATCGCCAGAAACCGCAGACTGCCACAAAGCCTGAAGCCCCAGGGGTACGTTTTAGGGGTTGGGGTTTAGGGGTTTAGGGTCTAGGGGTTTAGGGATTTGGGGGTTAGGGTTTAGGGTTTAGGGGTTTTGGGGTTAGGAGGGGTTTGGGGGTTTAAGGGTTTAGGATTTACACAGCCTAGACCCAGATTGCGAAAAAAAGCTAGCCAAAAAAACCCTTAACTCAATCCCAAATCCGCAGACCCTTCGCGACCCTAAAGGCTAACGCGCCCCAGAGCACACTTAGATTCTGGAATCTCCAGCGTCTACAAACCCTAACAGCCCTAACAAACCGCAGCAAAGCCGTGGTGTAGGGTGGAGGGTTCAGTGTTTAGGGCTCAGGGTTCAGAGTGTGGGGCTTGGGGTTTAAGCCGCCGCGCAGAACTTGCAAACACGTTGCCAAACTCACGAACCCTTACAAACCCCGTACTTAGCCTTTCAAAGCCATGACCTTAAACCTCGAACCCTCAAACCCGAATCAAAAGCTGAAGCCTCTGACCACACAAAGCACATTAAACAACCCTTCAAACAAGGTTAAAAACACTCCTCAAAAAAGCTACACACACAAAAGCTGTTTCAAAAACCAAAGACAACACCCAACCAGCAACATTCAAATACACCCTAAACCCTACAAATCGCTCCCTGCCCTAGACCTTAACCCCCCCTTTTCCCCCAGACCTTGCCGACTTCCTCCTCCAGTGTCTTCGAGACCTTCGCGAGCACGCGGCCGAGTAGGCTCCCCGACTTATCCTGCATAGAAGCGCTGCGGCCTTTTTGTTTTTTTGGAGGGGGAGAGGTCCTTAAAAGGTACCCTTAAAGGAACCATAGAGCTTTAGGGTTTTAAGGTTTGGGGTTTTGGGGTTTAGGGTTTAGGGTTCCTTATGGGCACCTTGAAAAGAGCTTGCTAAAGGGGCTCTTGCAGGTTTAGGATGACTTAGGGTTCAGGGTTCACCTAAGGTTTCTCTGAAGTTTCCTTACGCTGTTTTCTTGAAAGGTTGTGTTCCAAGGACTTAAGGTTTGGGGTTACTTTCAGGGTTCCTTGAAGGATGTTTTAAGGGTTCCTTGAAGGTTCCTTTAGGGTTCCTTATCGGTTTGCTTAGAGAGGTGTAAGGATCCTACAAAAGTTTGGTCTTCCTGTGAGGGTTTAGGGTTTCGGTTCCTTTGCTTTTTTAGTGGTTCTTGCAAGTTTCTTTGAGGGTTGCATTAAGGGTCCCTTCCAAGGGGTCCCGACACATTCTTGTGTATTTGTAATCGGCCTTTCATAAACCATCTGTGAAGCGACTTCTACTTTCAAAAACGCTGGCTTGGCGGGCCTTTTGGCCCTAAAGCTCTAAACTCAAAACATTTAGCCCTACAGCCCCCCAAGCATAAACCTGAAAACCTGAAGCCGTAAATCCTGAACCCCTAAGCACCTAAACCTTAAGAGCCCCAACCCTTAATCCCCAAACCTTAGAAGCCTCACCAGGTGGGACAAGGGTAGGTAGGATTTAGGATCCCTTCTATAAGGACTCTTACTCGGAAGCCCTAAACCCTTTTTAGAACCCTTATAGATCCCTTTAAGGAACCCTTATAGATCCTTTCAAAGGTATAGAACCCTTCTATAAGGACTCTTATATAGGGATAACGCCACCTACCTTCGTCTCACCCTTGGAGGCCTTTAACCCCAAACTCCTAAAGCCCTCAGCCCCTAAACCCCTGAACCCCAAACCCCTAAACCCCTATAGATCCTTTAAAGGAACCCGTCTATAAATTAATCCCTGAAAGGAACCCAACAACTCTAGAACCCAAACCGGTCTAAAAACCCTACAATCCCCTAAACCCTAAAAGCCCTAATCTCTAGGAATCCAAAAAGACCGGTCCTGCTCCGCCTTCTTCCGGCTCTTGGCCGCTTTCGTGGCCTGCCGCGCCAGTGCCTGGGCCTCCTCGATCCAGCGGAAATCGGTTTAGGGTTTAGGGTTTAGGGTTTAGGCTGATAGTAATGATGTTAGTGGTTCTTGCTAATAATAATAATAGTAATAAGAGTAATAGTACCAATCAATAATAATCGTCATAACAATATTATTACTACTTGTTATAATTATCATAAGTATGATAATAATGGACGTAATAAAGATCGAAACTGTAAATTGATAGAAATACTGATAATAATCGGAGTGATACACTGGAATCTGGGCTCTTGTACAAGGAGCTGGGATCAAGTTACCATGAGAGTGCTTGCCATTAAACGGATTAGGGTATAGGGCTGGGGGTTAAAGATTTTCACTTGAGTTAACATAACCGGGGTCTGTAGCAAATAACATTGTACTTTGCATGGTCAGTTGTATTGATTTCCTAAACATGAACCCAGAAACTCGATGCGGAAGCCCTGGACCAGGAGCCCTAGCATAGGGGCCTCAATGATCAGAAGCGGATTTGGGTGTGGTTTTACCGTATATCCTAGAAGATCGTATTTCTAATTGTTCAGGCCCTTGATAAAAGTGAGGGCTTCGGGCGGCTCGCAAAAAAACTGAACGGGCTTCAAGGTCTTGTAGTATCGGGGTTGTGGCCAAAGTTTCGTTTGTGGTCTAGAGCGTCTAGAGTTTGGTTCTTTGCGCCTCAATCATGACAACATGGGTTTGGTGTTTCTTGTTGTTTGTAAAAGGGTGCTTTATACAAAAATTGCCTGGGACTGTGCGGGCGCAAGGATATTACCTGTACATACGTATTCATGGCCCTATACTTCGGATGGAGGAAACCTTGCAACACCTACGGAAGCCAAGGAGGGTTAACCGTTAACCATCGCCCACTTAGAGGATCATGGGACTTAGTAAGTAGGTTATAACTGGGGTTATAAGTCCTTTAAGTGGCGTTATCCTAATTATAACCTAGTTATAACCTTATTTACTAAGTCCCATGAGCCTTTAAGCAAAGCATCTGTTCGGCATTGTTCCCTGTGTTGATGGGAGGATTCCAGCACTTATGTGGGTGGTTGTCAAAATTACGGTAGGGTCCCTTTTTGGGTACCCTAGATATTAGGTGCCGTACTATATTAGGGACCCAAAAAGGGACCATAATTTTGACAACCACTCAGAACTCATGTCATTAGGCGTAGTGTGCTTTTTGTGGCAATCTCAATAAACGGGTTGCGGGGTGAGGCAGCTTTGTTCGTGTTGGAAGCGGCACAAGACTTCCTCCGTCTACCGCTCCGAAAACGTTTGGCAGGGGTATCATGCATCGACACCTACATGCTAGCATCTGTTGTGTTATCAAGTGATGTATACCCCGAATCTAAACCCTAAACCCTAAACCCTAAACCCTCTCTAAGCCTTCAGGGCCTATACTAAATCCCCAGACTCCGAAGCCCCTTCGCAGGACACCATGTCCTTCGGGAGGGAGACAACCTTCTTGAGCTTGTCCTGGTAGTAGCCGGCTACTTCCATTTAGAGGTCTAGGGTTTAGTTTCGGAGTCTACCTAAAACTACCAAACCCTACTTTTTTGCAGGTTCTTATTGTAAGCCCTATTTTATTGCAAGCCCTATCTTGGAACGTATAGGGACCCCATAAAAAAGTAGGTTTGGTAGGTTAAGGTAGGGTTTCAGGGCGGATTCGGGTTCTGCTTCAGGAATCAAGGGACTTAGCTTGCAGGATATGATTGGGATCAAAAAATTTCTCCTGTGCAAATTTACCCCTACACATGACCTATCCCTAAACCCTAAACCCCTAAACCCTAAACCCCTAAACCCTAAACCCCTAAACCCTAAACCCCTAAACCCTAAACCCTAAACCCTAAACCCTAAACCCTAGTCCCCTGAGCAGGTTCCAGAGGGGACGACATGGGGTTTACGCAGATTTAGATACTGTTTAAGAATTCACACAAGCTTTCGAAGCTTTTTCGGGTTTACCTGTGCAAGTCTTGAAGCCCTCAGATTAGGATTTGGAATGAAGGATCGTAGGACTTTAGTCTAGGCAGTGTCGGGCCAATGTGGATGCGAGGATTTAGGGTTTAGGTTCCAGGGATTTTTGGTTTACTGGGCCCTTGTTCAGGAATTACATTTCTAGTTACCGCAGAAGGAACCCGTAGCATGCACGATAGATCCCTGTTATGGTTTCCCTAACAAGAGCGCAGTCTAGGGTTTGAGGGTTCAGATTTCAAGGTGGCTAGGCTCAGGTTATGCTGCTCTTCGAACCCTCACCCAACTCTGGTTTGGGGCATCGGGATTTTATGCACTGAATGTGGTTTTGAGTCGTTTGCAGAGACTTGGCGATTGCGACTTTACACAGCAGGAACATAAGCGACAGAACCTCAAACGTTGTTACTACGACTAGTTGCAACGCCTGTTCTCATCGTGCAACCCCCTTGAACAAAGTTCTGGACAAAGATGTAGAGAAACCCTACAAACCCTTCTGAATTCCCAAGACCCGATGAAACAAGCCTCATAAGACCCGAACCCTGAACCCTAAACCTAAACCCTACACCCCTAAACCGCTAAACCCTAAACCCCTAAACCCTAAACCCCTAAACCCTAAGCCCCACACCCCTCAACCCTAAACCCCCCTAAACCCCTAAGCCCTCCAAGACCCCGACAAGGATGGTCAGGCACCGTTTGCCGGTGAGGCCCGCGGTGGTGGACTTCGCTTTTGCCTTGGCCTGACTTAGCCAGGGCACCCCTTAAATCAATCCCTTAGGAGGGTATTGGGCTTGGGGGCGGTTGAAGCGGTTAGGGATGTAGAGGCTCGGAGAACAATGACTAGGGTTTAAGAGTTGCGTGTTTAGGGTTTGGGGCTTGGGTCCCGCAACCAGCTGATACCGGAACAGCCTTTTGGGCTGCCATAGGGTTTGATTCAGGTTTCAGCAAAGTTTCATAGGGACGTTTCAGGAAGATGCCATGGAGATTTTCCAGGAACCTGCAACAGCCCTCACCAAGTGTTGGGGGGTATACTAGGATACCCAGTAACCTAAAAATAAAAAGGCCTCTCTTTTTGGTATTGGGTAACTTTATAAGGAACCTAGGACTACAAAAAGGGAATAGGGGTACTACTGGGCATCCTAGTTTAAGGGCTTCCTTTAAGGTTCCTTTGAGGCTGCTTTAAGGGTTCCGTGAAGGGCTCCTTCAAGAGGGTTTGTGGGATTGGTTTAGGGCTTTATGTAGAGCATAGGTTAGGGTAAGTTCGGGGGCAAGCCAACACCCTCATTTTACTCACCATCAACTCAGATTCATCATCAGTCCGTGTACCCAGAGAGTCCAACAAGCCTGAATTAAGGAATATACCTTAAATTGTACGAGGCTTCACATTATGTTTCAAGCTATATTGCTTGAGTGAAGGGTTTCGGGCTGTCAGTTTACTTGTTTTGTTCACCATCGTCTTCACACTCTCGGCCTTGGCTGCAGGGGCGCTCTTCAGCTGCGTCTGCCTGCGAAGAGTCATGGCGGCGAGCGGAAAGAGTAGCAAAGGGGGTCCTGAAGAGAGCAAAATGCTGCGGCAGGAAGCTTGCGAGGTCCTATGGCTGTTATTCTGTACGTTCAAGCGTGCACGGGGCTATTTGCAAAGCTTTGGGGTTGAAACTTGCTATGTCTCCTCTCAGGAATAAGCAAAACATGCTCAGTTTGTTGGAGAACCCTCGAAACCATATGGGACTTAGTGGATGGGGCTGCACTTACGGAAACTATACTTACAGTTCATTATAAACCCAATTAACGTACTTATAACTGTGCTTACTACCTGACTCGCATGAACCTCCAAGTATAGACCCCCTAAAGAGTCCAGCACCCCTTACTTAATGAATACTGCTTGAGACGGGCCTAATATGATTATGATCTAAGATGTATTCCCAGATTACGGGGTATTGGGCCCGATACAAACCCCTACAAACCCCTCAAAGGAACCCTCAAAGGGTCCCTGATTCTTAATTACAGGGTATTGGCCTCTCTGGGCCCTTGTAGAACCTAAAAAACCCTTATAGAACCCTTGAAAGGGCCCGTAAAGGAACCCTAGCAAGCTATATTCCTTAATCAAGGGGCATTGGTAGGGCCCAAAAAAGCACATAAGCAAAAATGAGGATAGGGATATCACATATAAACCCCCTTATAATGAAGCCCGATAAGGTAGGGATACCCCTATAAAATGCTTATGCTTATATCCTTTTTGGGTCCCTAAATTGGCCTCCCTGGGCGCTCGTAGAGCCGCCTAGCGCTTTACAGTAGCCCTTAAAGACCCCTTTAACAGGAACCCTTAAAGGAACCTTGACCCCAAACCCTGAGGATACCTTAATTAAGGGGGCACTGGCCTCCCTGGACCTTCTTGGGCAGTTGTCAAAATTAGGGCCCCTTGTTGGGTACCCTAAATATTAGGAGCCGTAGCATAATCGGGATTCAAAACGGGACCATAATTTGGACAACCACCCTCTTACTTAAAGGCTCATGGGACTTAGTAAGTAGGTTATAACTGGGGTTATAAGTCCCCTAAGTGGGGTTGTCCTAATTATAACCTACTTATAACCTTACTTACTAAGTCCCATGAGCCTTTAAGTAAACCCTTAAACCCCTAAACCCTAAAACCCTAAACCCTTAAACCCTAGATCCTTGAACGCCCTAAACGACAGCCACCCTCTTAGAGTCGCTTAGCGCCCCGCCGTGTTCGAGGCTTCCTGGGCCTCCGGCTCGAGGATGCGCAGAGGGATTTATTTACTTAGGGGTTTAGGGCTTAAGTGGCGTTTAAGGCTCTAGGGTTTAAGGGTTTAGGGTTTAATTGGCGTTTAAGGATCTAGGGTTTAAGGGTTTAGGGTTTTAGGGCTTATTTGGGGTTTACTTAAAGGCTCATGGGACTTAGTAAGTAAGGTACACCTTTTCAGGGTACTATAGGGTTCTATAATAGGGTTCCTTTTAAGGGCTTGGGGTTTAGGGTCTAAGGGTACCTTTTAAGGGTAATGTAGGGTTCTATAATAGGGCTCCCTGTAGTCTACTTAAAGGCTCATGGGACTTAGTAGGCAAGGTTATAAGTAGCTTATGATTAGGATAACCCCACTTGTGGGACTTAGAACCCCAGTTATAACCTACTTACTAAGTCCCATGATCCTTTAAGTAACCTAAACTCCCCCTTATAGAACCCTTATAGACTTATAGATCCCTTAAAAAGGAGCCCTTTAAAGGAACCCTAGGGTCCCTAGTACCCTTAAAAGCAACCCTAAACCCTACCTACTGAGGATGCGCAAGGATTTCGGGGGGTTTAGGTCCCAGCAAGAGACTCCAATATCCCTGAATCCTCAGCCCAGGGTTCCTTTAAGGGATCTACAGGGCTTAGGGTTTCAACCCTTGATTAAGGAATATATAATTAAGGAATACCTAGGGTTCCTTTAAGGGATCTATAAGGTATACCTTCAATAATGTTAGGGATCCTGCCATATAATTTAGGTATATTCCTTAATTAAGGGATATATTGGAGTCGACAAACCTCGGGGCTGAGTATCCTAGCCCAAAAAAAGTTGATAACCTTGTCAATTACTAGACCCAAGAGTAACCTAGGAAGAAAAAGGGTGCCCTTTTTGGGATAAAGGGGGTTATAAGGGAACCTAAACCCTTAAAAAAGGGAATAAGGGCCTACTCTGGGTCCTAGATTATGGTAGGGGCATATACACCCCAAAGGGTTGAAGAGTACCTACTCCGCTACTAAGAAAACCTACCGCTCAACGTATTGATGATTACGTAGATCGCAGAACGATGGACCGTCATGATAATGATGCTGCCGATGCTGATAGCGAAGATGATGAGGATGCTAGCGATGCTGATGACCACGGTGATAACGATGGTGATGACCATGATGACAACGACGATGCTAGAAACGATGATATCGACAATGCTAATGACGATTGCAGTGACGATAGGGCGATCTGGAAAAGGCTGCTGACCCTTGCTTCCCCCACGCCGCGTTCATCGCCATACGAACCGTAACAGACTTGCCCCAACCTTCAAAGTCGTCGGTTCAATCAGCATTCTAGCCGCTTCTAGCCTTCTGTCGCAGCACTGCTTTGCTGCTCGACATCACAGATTCAGTTCAGGGTGTTGTTGTTGGGCGCTGGTGCCTGGTGCAAAGAACATGCCTTTAACTATAGAGTCCTAATATCGTGGTTGAAGGTATTTTTCCCTCAATTTCGGGGAGAACCGTAAACCCTAAACCCTAAAGCTCCTGGGGGCATTACGAAAGTCTTGGCAACTGAGACCCCGAGCTTCTTGGGCCTTCGGGGCAAAGACCCTGTAACCCTCTCTCGAAACGGTTTAGGGTTTAGGGTTTAGGGTTTAGGGGAACAAAAAATAACTAAGTCCTAAACTGTAAGACCTGGTGCTTGTTTAACGGCTTCAGGTTTCCTAGGATTCAAGGTTTTTAAAGGGTTTAAGTTTCCGGCCAGAATCTCAGTTGAAGCAGAGATAATGTCTGGGTTCAATGTGTCTGCAAGTTCTTGCAATCTCAGCCCGTGCAGTCTAGATGCTGGCGAGGCTGACGAGGTTATGCCGGGGCAACGCATGAAGCTGTATTCTATTGCACTCAAGGCTGCCTGCCGTCTGGTGCAGTACAGGGTTTCTCTGCCCGCGACCGTGGACAGGTCGCCGGCCTCTGCGACCTTCCTTCTCTTAGCGTTGCGCTCGTCCGAGGATCGCAAAAACTGTCGGCGGGCTTGGAGCGCGGCCTCGTCTGGCATCAGGAGGATGCTCTGGAGCCCCAGCTTCATGCTGCGGAAGGCCTGGAGCCAGGCCCACAATGCCATATGACTTCAGAAATGGCTTCGGCCTCCCAAGCCTTTTTTGATGTCGCTGCTTGCCTTCTGGATGTTGTGGTCGTACGTGAGCATGACGTCCTTTTTTCCGTGGGGAGGTCTGGCTGAAAAGGCATAATAACTGTGACATAACAGGTTCTTGGATACCCCTGACCCCTAAACCCCTGAAGGGAACCCTATTATAGAACCCTATAGCACCCTTAAAAGGAACCCTAAACCCTAAACCCTTAAATCATAAACCCTAAATCCTAAAACACGTTTAGAACCCAGTACCCTTAAAAGGAACCCTAAACCCCTAAACCCATAAATCATAACCAAACCACCAAGAAAATTCGGAATGAAGGCTGGGCCTCGACCCCCAGCCACCCCCTCAGTGCAGCCGAAATGTTCGAGATCAAAAAAATACAACACACGGGCGAACATCATCAGCATCAGCAGCCTGAGCTCCGAGTTGAAGAAACCCAGTGCTAGCCTTAAGACCCTTAAGGGTTTAGGGTCTGTGCACGCTCTCATCCAAGAAAACCCACAGACGAGCAGCGCATCAGCTGCACAAGCTTGTATCATGAGTTTCAGCTGTCTTGCTTGTATCCAGCAAAACCCGAGGACGCGCATCATGAGCATCAGCTGCCCAAGATCTGCCGCCAGAAAAGTCCAGAGACAAGCGTCATGCGCATCAGCTACCCTAAACCGTCAACCCAAAACCCTAAGCCTGAAACCCTGAACCCTAAACCCTAAACCCTAAACCCTGAACCCTAAACCCTAAACCCTGAACCATAAACCCTGAACCCTAAACCCTTAAAGGATCCCTTAAAGCAGGGGCCCTAGCCCTCAACCCAGAAAGTCCAGGTGACACGCATCATGAGCATCAGCTGCCCGAGCTCGGATCCGAGCATCATGAGCAGGGTTTAGGGTTTAGGGTTTAGGGTTTAGGATTTAGAGTTTAGGGTTTAGGGTTTAGGGTTTGGGGTTTAGGGTTTAGGGTTTAGGGTTTAGGGTTTGGGGTTTAGGGTTTAGGGTTTAGGGTTTAGGGTTTAGGGTTTAGGGTTTGGGGTTTAGGGTTTAGGGTTTAGGGTTTAGGATTTAGGGTTTAGGGTTTAGGGTTTAGGGTTAGAAAACTCACAGACCCGCATCAAGGGCATCAGCAAAATCAGCAGTGTTTTCGTCCGACAAAAGCATGCAAAACACCGAGGACGTGCATCATGAGCATCAGCTGCCCAAGGTCTGTCGCCAGAACACGCAAGGGACGAGTGTCATGAGCATCAGCCGCCAGAGCCCTCAAATCGAAAAGCCCATGTGACACGCATCATGAGTTTAATGCTTAGGGGTTTAGGGCTTAGGTTAAGGGTTCTTTGTTTTTGTTAAGTTGGGGTTCAGGGTTTAAGCTTTGTATCCAAGAAACCTCACAGTCGAGTGTCATCAGCACCAACGGTCTGATGTCCTATCCAAGCAAGCCCCGCGGATGAGCACCATGAGCATTCAAAACCTGGACCTAAACCCTTTGTACTTAGAGGATCATGGGACTTAGTAAGTAGGTTATATTTGGGGTTATAAGTCCCCTAAGTGGGGTTATCCTAATTATAACCTACTTATTTTACTTACTAGGTCCCATGAGCCTTCAAGTAAGGTTTAAGGAGCCTGCCTCATCGCACCCATGGCCCAT